TTAGGGTATTTTTCTGGACAGAAATTTAGGCCTTTAGAAAGGACAGATTTTTTCAGTTTTGGTAAGCGTGTGTGTGGAGAGATTGATAATATTTGTGGGTTGGTTGCTGCTTTCAGTTTCATTGAGTCTGAGGTTGGAAGGTCGTAAGGTGTTGGTGTTGTTCCTCGGATGGTTGTTTTGTGGCTGGGGAGCTTGTTCTTGGAGTAATTTGTTCCATTTTTTCGTTTTATGTAGGATGAATGGTGTAGAAAGTTCTTTTTGTAGTCTCTTTGTACCCACTGTATATTGTCAGGGAACATGCATGGATTTCTGTCTTTTAAGTTGTTGTGGTATATGGTGATTTCCTTCCTGAGTTGGTCTCTTTTGGAGTAAAGCAGGTGAAGTAGATGATTTCTAATTTTCTCTGAAGTTCTTCTGCATAGCTGTGAAGCATATTTGGAGTTGTGTGTAGTAGTCAGGGGACTGTAGATGTTTAGTCCTCGGGGAATGAAGTTGTTTCTTGCAAAGGCTTAGAAAATATATGTCGCTGTTGAGTTTGGCTTTTTTCTTTTTCATGTTGTACAGTTTCCATTTAGGAAATGTTTACACTTTTTGATGTGTTTCAGATATTGAGAAGACAAGCGCAAACATAAACAATCCAAACTGCTTTTCATTTAACGTGAGACTTTAAAAATTTAGAAAGAACTAAATGTTTTCTTCTCAAAAGCTGTAATCAGCCACACAATTGAACCTACAAGCTCATTTCTGTATTCTTCTGTATTCAGTATCTTTAATTTACATAAGCACAAAATAGATCTACAGAAGGAACCAAAGTGTATTTGTGGGCACTGTGAGAAAAAAATGTGACTGGCACTGTTGCTAAAGATGATCCTTGTGTGTGTGGGTAAGAAGGCTATGGATTATTCCTATACAGGTGAACAATTCAGCAAAGTTGATATTCAAAATAGGTATATCAATACCTGCATTTCTGAGGCCTTTCCCTAGACTATAGTTACTCATCAAGGACTGGAAATAGAAATGTTGTATTTACCTTTGTTGGGAAGGGGCAAGCCCTTTTGTTGTATTTGGGAAGTTTTTGTAAGTACTGTTCAGATTGCTTATACAAGATTTATAATCACTTAAGTCTGGGGAAAATATGGACTGGGTGAATAACAAAACCTATACTTTTATTAAGACTTGAAGACATAGTGGCAACAACCTCCTTAAAGAATCTAGAAAATGAGGAAAGCAAGATCAAATGGAAAACAGTCTTTCCTGATTTACATCTAGCTTTCTCAACAAAGACAGTTTACAATTCAAGAGACATGAGATTTAAATCAAGTTTAAAGTTAGTTGGCTCTGCTTGACTGAAACATCTTTTTCTTTTAGAATTCAGTCTTTATTTTCTGTTTAGTAGATTATGCTTTGCCATTCTTCTACTTAATTGTTAGTGTTAGTATTGATTGATTGGTTAATTGGCTCTTGGAATGGCATTCCCTGGGAGGGAGATTCTCTCATTTTGGATACATGCTTCAGCAGTTTTGAAAGAATCCCAGTGTTATGATGATTTGTTTTGCATTAGAAAGAGCAATTTAAGTACTTGTATTGTTGTTTGCCTCCATCTGACCAAATTCCAGTTCTGCTATTTACATTAAATGCACGTATTGGTGACAGTAAATAAACATGTAACATGCAGGTCATCTTTTATGACTGTGTGAACATTAGTTACTCTAAATGGCTTTTTAATTTTTGTATTGTTTGGATAGTGGTTTGCTCCTGGTAGCACTGGTCAGAGAAGATAATTTCCCCCTCACAAAAATATATGAATTTCGGGGGAGACGGGGATGGACACGACCTCATCATTTAATCTAATAGATAATATGTAAAATGAATGGGTTTTTGAAAATCCGTTTTGGGAGAACCACATTTTTCTGGCTTGCTTCTTAGGTAGCCAACTGCCCAGGAAATCAGCCATCCACAGGAGCCAGCTGCCTAGAATGCCAGTGAACTTTGGCTTCTAGGAAATCTTGATTTTTATAGCAGTCTATCAGGCAGGCTGTCAGAGGTGGATCCCTTGAAATGGTCAGCCCAATAGGCAATTCACAGGGATTTGGGGATCCTGGTTTGGGAATCCTGCAGGTGGGCTACCATAAAGAGGCTGGGATTCCACGGAATGGGCTGGCCTGCCTGGTTTCCATCAACAGTTTCAGTGGAACTAATTCATTCAAATCAGTATTTTCCGACAAAAAATTGGTCCCCTGGCAAATTTTTTGACCAGCTTGAGTTCTAAGTTATTGCTTTGTTACTGGTCATGTGCTTGTGCAAAAAAAAAGAAAGTTCTTAGCCTATTTAAACTGGAATTGGAGAATGAGCTTCTTTTGAAGCAGCTAATATGATAAATTTTGAACAAACTGGTACACGTGACTTTAGATGTTCTGCTCTTTGATATTCTAATTGCATAATATCATTATTATAGCTATTTAGTATTCTGTTTACTTAGACATTGTTAGAGACGTGATAATTTTAAATACTTGCTATATTTTGAACTGGTAATTGCATCTCTGTTTTGGAAAATCTGTTGGTGACCTGTGCATCTCCGATAAGTATCATAACTTTCTCAGACCTTGGAGGCTTTTGGTCTGATATTTGATACCATGCATGTCCAGGAAGATTATGAAAGAGCAAATAACACAAGGATTATTTATACATTTGGGGTTACTTAAAGCATTTTGGATGTGCTTAACTTCACTACAGTAGTTACAATGAAAAACCAGTTGTTAGTAAAAGATCTCAGTTATGAGAAATGGTTCTTTATATCTAGTCCTCTCTGGCATATTGGACATTATCTGGGAAAAAACCCAAAATTATTTTACATAACAACTGGTTGTTGTGAACCAAGATCACTTGCGTAAATACATCTCCTCTAACAAAATGTTTTTGAACAACAAATGCTGAGGTATCTTTAAAAGTGGGCATTACACTAGAATAAAGCAGAAGCATCCCCTGCCTTTAACTAATGATTTTTTTTCCTTTTAATGTTTAACAGTAACTGAAGCTGGTTTTGGTGCTGATATTGGGATGGAAAAATTCTTCAACATCAAATGCAGAACCTCTGGCTTGATTCCCAATGTGGTTGTGCTTGTTGCTACCATAAGGGCTTTGAAGATGCATGGAGGTGGGCCCAGTGTAAGTTTCTGCACCTTTTTGTAACACAAAATAACATTGGAGCTGCATATAAACATCTTACTTTTTTAAATAGTTGATATTGCTTTTCATGCAAGCAACAACTCAGAAATTCTCTTCCTTCAACTTCCTTGTTACACAGCTATTCATTCTAGCCTTGTCCATGGAGGTTAAGGGGAGCAGCCAAAGGAGCAAGGATTATATAGCTATGAAGATGTCCTAAATCTTAGAAAAGAGAATAAAGTTTGTTTACAGAAAAAACTTTAAAAAATATTTCCCATGTTTCTTAAAATAATGTTTTGTAAATCCTAGTATTATGAATGTGTAAGGAAACTGAAACTCTCCAGGTCTTGATACCTATTTAACTGCTGAGGAGGAGAGCAAAGTTCATATTTCATTGTATGAGTAGAAGGGACTTAAGGTCTCTTGTAGGTAGAAGGCTTGTGACCTTTGCCACTGAAGTGGTAGAAACTCTCATTTTCCATTTTTCCACCCACAGGAACACCTCTTTCTTCCCCCTTCTGCTACCTCTTAAAATAGTGAAAACATTTTCTCACTTCATTGCAATGTACAGCACCTGGCCTTCTGCTCTCTCAGTTCAGGTTCAGGGTCAGATCTTGGAACTGCTAATCCTAGAAGCATTCCCCACTTATTTGGGCCGAAGCAGGAGCACTTGTGTATGTGAATGGCAGTCTAACCAGGCAAAGATACTGAAAGGCTAAATGTATGCTTCTGCTGCTCCACCCCGGCAGTTTTGAAAGGATCGTATGCTGCCAGGGAAACAAGATTTCTGTAGAGCTTCATAATGGGGAAAAATTCCAGAGCTGTTTCCGCAGCCACAAAACTGTGGAATGCACAGAGCCTTCCTTATAACTAATCATCTGACCTAAAGCTGAGCTTTTCCTTTTGTTCAGACCTTTCAATGCCAAACACATTCAAAATATTGTCACTGCAATATTATCTTTCTTTTTCTTCTCACCCAACCTAGGCAGCTTTTATCTTCTGGCATGCTATTTCTCTGTATGTTCCAGGGTTGGTACAGAAAAATTACTATTCAGCCTAGTGACAAGAGTTTTTAAATGTGCCCTTTATACCTATGTGTTTGTTCTATATGTAGTGACCACATGTCCCAGCTTAGCCAGTCATAGGCCATCCCAGCCAGTTGGCTAAAATTGGATGGCTGTTTTCCACGGGCTGCCCCCAGGCTCCATCCCTCCAGGTCTCCTACCCAGCTGCCTGCTCTACCCCTTCCCCCAGCCCAGCCCTGCTCTGCTGCTCTCTGCCCATTCATGTGCCACCGAGATGCTGAGCACCTTGTGGTGAGTGCCCCACGTTCTTCCCCAGAGCCACAGGAGAGAGGCCACGGGTCACTGCAGTGCACATTGCTTTCTGGACACAGCCCAGTGGCCCTGGGGGCTTCACTAGGGCTCAGCCCCTGCCCACCTTGCTCCCTGCAGTGACAGCTTGCACAGCGCTTTGGGATCCCTGTCTCTCCTCCCAGTGTGCATGTAGTTGTGTATGGCTGTTGGGTGGGTGTGTGTGGGTGGTAGGTCAATGGGTGTGTGCGCCGCTCCTTCCCCCATCCTGGATTTCCTTCAAAATAATATGGTCCCCCTTTCTGTATAGTACTTGTCTTCAGAAATAGATGTTCTAGTCTTTCCAATACAATACAGTGTAGAAGAAATTATTGGGCCAGATACTAGAGAAGTTACCAACAAAAGTGGCTGTAAGTCCAAGCATTTGTAGTTCCATAGGATAATAGGAAAGTAGGGCTGGAAAGGACCTCACAGTGTCTTCTAGTCCAACCTCCTGCTCAAGGCAGTATCATACCTAAGTAGACCATCCCAGCCAAGTGTCTGTCTAACCTGCTCTTGATAACTTTCAAAGATGAAAATTCTGCAATTTCTCTAGGTAAACTTTTCTAATGCTTGACCACCCTCATAGTCAGAAAGTTCCTCTTAATCTCCAGCTTCTGTTTCCCCTGCTGCAGCTTGAGGTCATTTCTCCTAGTCCTGTCCCCTACGGTCATGGAGAAAAGTCCTCCTTTATCCTCCCTCCAATTGCCCCTCATGTATTTGACAACTGTTATGAAATCCCCCCTCAGTTTTTTTCTGCAGGCTAAATAATCTTAGTTCTTTTAGCCTTGCCTCATAAGCAGGGATCCTGGTTTTCTCTGATTTAAAAATTGCAAATTCTCTGATTTAAAAACCCCAAATCCGTGATAAAAATTAAAGGCCCTCCACAGCCCCCCA